AAATGATTCATATTCGTTAGTCAACGAATTATAATCACTTAAACAATTAAATTAAAAACAACAAATTTTTGTAATTTCCGACGCGAAAACAGGTTTGAAATTCGAATTCATCGGATCAAAATACATAGGAAACTCCGTGGACGTTGATCGGTCACAAAACAGCTTTGGACCCTGAACTATATGTTCTTACCACTGATTTTTCTGGGTAAATATACAATTTTCAGTTTGCTTTGTCTCAATTTTACTATTTATAACTCCAAGTGTGTTTTTTGTCTAAATCCTCTATCTCCTCGTCTAGTTTGATTGCTACTTTATTTATAAAATTAATAAAGGTAGTTTTTGTTTATACGATGGTAAATTAAAATTGGTATGCTTATGGGAGTCAGATAAATACAACCCGTACATTAACCAAATGTTTGAAAACTCTGTTCTAGAAAAATATATTTTAGTTAGTACCATTTTGCTACCGTTTTTTTAAGTTGCTCTTTAAAATTCCTAAAAATAGAGAAAATAACCATTTTAGTTGACTGTTATTTACTCGAAAGCTTTTTATTCTTTTATTTGCTTCCTCCGAAAAGTAGAATCTTCCAGACAGTCAACTAATATATTATTTTCTCTATATCAGGTGAAGATAGCAGGCCAGGGGTCGGACAAGAGTGTTCGATTTGCGGAAAGGTGTTAAGAAACAAGATAACGTTGAGAAGACACGTCAAAGACCTTCACTATGCACAGACAGAAGAGTTTTGGTGTAAGATTTGTAACAGGTCTTACAGGACTAAGAACAGTTTGGTTGTGCATACGTGCAATTATCATCAGAAAAAAATTAGAAAGAATATTGTTTCTGAGTAATTATATCGAGAATTTTAATGTGATTAAATTAGTATAACGCTATATAAAAAAACTTTATTTTTTTAGACAATACTGCCTCGTTTACATAAACTTTTGTTATGATCTAAACTTCCTCATTTGTAAAATATCATCTCTTATTTTTCATTAATTGCTTTCATTTTTTATATCCCAATGTTATTTTGTGATTTAATCTATCAAATATCCTGATAGGCTGAGAATACATATGATAGGACTCTCTTCGAAAATAAAAAAAGGACGTGAGGTTTCATAGGCAACCCAACAAAAGGGAACCATTAATGCCGAAGAACATCTTGAATGCCTTTTTAGTGTGACAGAATCTTTGTTTTCTAGATAGATCATTATATTCTCTGATCATTAATATCGGAGACCCCTTCTAACGGGCTTTTAGTATAATAACGTCCTCTTTTTTTTATGGTGTGATAGTCCCCAATCACTCCTTTCCCATTTAATATTTTATAGGTATTTCTATAATCATTAATACCGAAGTTTTTGAACTTCGTTTAGGCATAATGATATCTTTGTTTTTCCTCTGCATCAGATTCACCAGTTTCACTGGATGCAAACGAATTTTTTAGTAATTCTGTGGCGTTCGATAAGGTTTAGTATATTATCAAATATAGTATCAAACTATCTGTGTATTTTTTTATTCATTTCTAAATAAGTCGGCCCTTGTTAGATTTTATTTTGGACAGTTTTTGCTTTTGATATCGCATCTAGAGCGAATTCTATCCAGATTAGATATAGTTTGAAAGGTCAAAAATGTTTTTTTTTGCCAATAAAATGTAACGATCTGAGAAATATATTACCGTATATTGAATAAAGTCTATTCAGGTTTGCAAAAATCCAATTGATCAAAAATATAATGGTTAAAATTACGCTGTCATCTTCTAGAACATACTTGTATTCATTAGAACTCAAAAGTCATGAGAGATTTCAAAAAAAAAAAAAATTTGCTAAAAAAGTTATTTAAATAAAACTTTTGTTTAACTTTTGATGCGTATTCCATAATTTTCTTAATTTTTTTGGGCATGTAATAGAATGATACTCAAATTTATCAAAAAATGGCAATTGTGTTACTGGACAAATACAAATTTACCTCAAGGGAAACAATTTTCAAATAGGGTTAGAGATTAAAATTAGTTAAATCTTGGAAACTACCTTCTTCTAAATTTACACCAAATTTATTTATATAGAAACCGACTTAGTGGCACCACAAATTTGAACAGAATTGCGAGTTTTCACCAAAATAATAGTTATGAGATTTTGATAAATTTTGTAAATATTTTGAACACCGGTTGTCAGTGTTTTAGTTAATAAATATTTTTGATGCACTAAAATGTTTACTGCTGGAATTATATTAGCAGTTGGTTGAAGCAAAGTTGTTTAAACGAGCAATTGCCCAAGATTTATGTACTTTTAAACAATTTAAATATAGTGAAATTTGTGATTATCAAATACATTTAGTGCACTGAACAGTTCGTTTTAATTCCATATATTTTATTTTTAAGACAACTCAATTTATTTTATGAACGGTTTTTCTATAAAACAATCGATTTTTTGTAGGATCACAATAATATTTAAAATTAACAGTGATCATCAAAATATTTCAGATATATTGAATTTGTGATGATTTATTTATTTATGAATATTGTTCTGAAGCAATGTATGGCATCTGAAAGCAATTACTATTTTGTATTTTGAGAACGATTTCCGAAGTGGAAATTGAAACGTTAATAAACTTATTTTAAACGTAAATTGTGGCTTATTTTCAATTAAAATATTATATATTCTATTGTAAGGTTTATAATTTATTGTTCTGTATTTTTTCCACTAAATTCAATAGTCAATATTGATTCGGATAGCATTGCTTCCATTTCTTCACTTTAGCTTGACAAATTTAGTTAGTTTTTAGATACCTTTTTATGAAATATCTTTTCTATTCATAGATCTACTAGTGACCATTTTCATTTTGGCTTTACAACCCCGCGTGGGCACTAGCCTTCTCAAGAATCTCTCATATTCCCATATTTCCCATATTTTCATCAATGTTATCAAGTAACCTTGTTCTGGGTCTTCCACTTCTTCTCTGACCAATGGGTCTATCAAGGAGCGTTTTTCTAGTTCGAGCGTTCGAGGTTGTATGGTCTTCTCCACACTCTATTGGCATAGTACTTTTGTTTCGAAAGATCCTAACATGTTTTCATTATTTTTTGTTTGAGTCTAGGTCTCTGAACCATTGTTTTGTTGCGTTTTATTTTTGTATTTCTAGATATAATTAATTGTGTATTTAAGGAGAAGATTGAGCCCAAAATAGCATCTGTAGACCGTGCAAATTCTGGGGTTTATCTCGGCGGTAGTAATATTTTCAGTGTTCCATGTATTTAAATTCGTTCACTGCTTCGATAACGTCGTTTTCTATAACAAGTGGTCAAAGGATTTGTGGTTGCGTGCGCGTGCTTATTTTTATGTACTTCGTTGTGTTGGTGATTATTACTAAACCAATTTTTACAAACCTCGTACAGCATTTTCCGTTCTCCCAACGGGAGAATTGTTTAATTAAATTTATTATATATCCAGTGGTTGTGATTTATGATATACGTATTACTTTTTCTAGAGCCAAATTGATCAGTATACAGGAGAGAGGGTCTTCCTTGCACAGCCCATTATTTGTTTTAAAAGGTTCAGACAGTTCTCCTGAATTCGTACTCTACATTCAACTTTTTCAAGAGTTAGTCTACTAGTCATACCATTCCTAATATTCAGTTGCAGCAAATGTTCTATAGTTTCATGGACTTGACATTCGTATCAGCATTTATCGTTAAAATTATTATCAATAAATGTTAATGGTAAAATCGTTGTTTTGGCATTGCCATTCTGCTCTTTTTCTTCTTAATCACAATTCCATTTTTGATTAAATGTAGCTTCAAGATAAATAAACTTCAATGGATGTGTCTAATGATATTTCCATTACTCTGAAGGGCGTATTGTTTTTTTGTCTCTTAATCACCATTAATTTTGTCTTGGCAATATTAGTACGAAGCCCGCACTGTTCACCGGATTCGATAATTTGGCTTAATGTTGCTTAAAGGTCTTCAATGTCACAAGAAAAAAAGTTTTAAAGTCTTCAATGTCATTAGCTATTATTGTGGTATCATCTGCGTAACGAATTCTTCGAATAATATGGTATCGTTTCCCCCATTCTGCTCATGTGGTTATTCCATTCTTTTTTCTGTTTACTGTTAATATTTTTATATACTGTACGTTACATTTTCCTCAAATGTCTTCACTCCTCTTAAGATATCTCAGCGTATTTCCTTTAATTCTTCGCAGTATTCCTGTCTTACACTGGCTTTATAAATTCGTGACTTCATCTCAGTGTTAATAAAAGGTATAAAATTCCAAGGGATTTTATTTCTATTACTTGTTCAATAGTGTTACATCTAATTAGTTCTTTGCTGATTACTATAGTTTTAGTTTTCTGAGATTGTCATATTAAATTATTTTGCTCTTTACAGAGTATTTTTACTTTGTGTCCCATTCTGTATCCTCTTCCTTTGATGACACTTTTGATGGTTTGATCCATGATTAAATTGAAGAGTGTAGTGTTCAATGATTCCTCCTGTCTTATTCTTCTGCATATTATGTGTATAGGTTCTCGAAGTTGTCCATCTACTCATTTCTTTCATTTCTATTCTATTTTATTGTGTTTTATATTTTGTTAATTTATGTTGTTAATTGTTCTGTCATTGATGCTCTACAATATTTCACTCATTTGTTTGGTATCACGTATTTAGCTGCGCTTTTTTAAGTTATGTGTATTTATATTAACTTCTTCTTTTGTGGTACTTTCTGATGTTTCCGGTTCTAGCGTTATTTGTTCTTCTTTGGATAGAGCTCTTTTAGATAGTCAATCCATGTATTCTTTTCTATGTGTTTTGAGTCTATTAGTTCCTTCAGCTTAGTTCTTTGAACTCTTGTAAAGCGCCATATTTCCTTTTACAGACCATAAAAATCATGATTTACATCAAAACAATGATTTACGGTTTGTCGAAATAATTTGGAACATCACAAGTTCAAAATGTTTTAAATATGTTTAGCTTAATAGTATATTAAAATTTTTTGATTTATAGGAGTTTACAAAAAAATATAGTCTCTTCCTTTACCAATAATCAAACACAAGATAAATGTTAATATATTGTTTCGTATAATTTTCCTATTTCTTGTCCACTGGTTATACTTGCATATTATGGCAATGGTTATATTTTAGCATTTTAGTTATTGAATGGTAAACAATTATAAGAACAGAAAACGAGTAAAATATATTGTTTTTATTATATAAAAATTATATTATGTACTGGCACAAATCGTTTTAAGTTTGCTGCATGATTATGAAAACATGAGCAACAGAACAGTAATAGAAATAATAAGCAATTTTTTTATTGTGTTTGTAGAATCTGCATCTACTATCCCTACAGTTACTTCTTGTGCATGTTTAGCATATTTGGTAGTATTCAAATTTCATTCAATAAGAAAATTATGCAATTTTGTTTCCCAAAAGTTAACCAAAACAAAAATAATATACGTTAATTGAGGAACGTTAATCAAAAAATAAATCTCTCATGATACAGATGGTTTAGGGGTTAATAGTAACTGAAGTAGGTAAAAAGTCAAGAAAATCGACAAAGTGTAAAGGGACCGCGTGTACATAGCTTACCAATCGAAGCGGCTGAGAGGGGCTAATAAGGCTTCTTCTGCCGTCAGGTCTGGACGATTTTCGCTGCCAGCCATGCAACAAAAGCCTCAGCAGCCTTACGAGACTGAAGAGGCATATACAGAACGTTCATATGAGGCCGTCTAGAGAACCCGTCTGCAACATTTGCAAGAGAGTGTACAGCAGCCTGAACTCATTACGCAATCACAAGAGCATTTACCATAGAAATGTTAAGAACGTTAAGGCTGAAGACATGATAACCCCACATCCGTTTTATCTTTGAGACGTTCCGGAAGGGCGTATTCTGTAAACTTTCATATACGCCCTTCTAGCGTTTCGCAGGAAGGGCCAATAAGGGTTCAAATTGTTTTTTTCGAATTTTTATTTTTAAGATGCGGTGGGTTGATTTTTTATTTTTTGCAAATGCAGCATTGATGATTTGTTTATTTTCTATACTATACTTCTTGATTACCTTTAAAATCACAAGTGGACAAAGGACAACTGCGAGTCTTTAATTTTTAATAAATTGTTTTAATAAAGTGTTTTTCCTGTGCCTTAAGTTCGTCTTTTTTGGCAGTTTTTGATGTAACTTAGTTCAGTAAATTACATGTTATCATTTATTTCGTCAATGTGTCAGTTATCTTTGCTACCCTCTTGTGCAGCTTTATTATTTGTCAATAATATGCTTTAGAAACATGTATCGAAGTTTTTTATCTGTTTTGCACTATATTTTTGTTTGCTTTCTTCGTCTGGTTTTTCCCAGAAATAT